GGTCCTTCCCCGCGGACAAACCGGGCTCCCCACGCCAGGCGGAATCAGACCGTTTAACACATTTTTATGTTGAAAACAAAATAAAAGCAAAGCAAACCACCACGCACTATGTTGCTCCAGCTCCCATCCCCCAGGGCCCCCCAGCCCTCCCTCCCTGGTCTGGGGGCTCCCGCGGCCGCCTGGACCCAGAAAGAGAAGGGGCAGAGAGCCCCCCTGCAGGGCGGGCCTCCCCCCGACTCCGTCCTGGCCTTTGCAGCGGGAGCAGGCAGGTGGAGAGCAGGGATCCGGGCTCCCGGAGAAGCCCCCCTTCATTGTGGGGGGACAGCAGAGATGCTGCAGCTCCCGCAGCAGGCGAACAGCCACAGATTTACTCCAGTATCTCCCCAACATGCGGTTTTAAATTATCCCAGGTATAAAGTATATGCAATTCTGCATTCTCACCCAAAAAAGGAACCTTTAAAGAGAAAATAGGTTAGCCATTTCCATTCCAGTGCAAAAACTGTGTCACTCTCACATGCTCTAGGTAGTTGACGGAAAGAGGGGAAATCTGATTGCTCTGTTTGTATTTTTTCTTTTTTGTGGGAACATTTCACCCGCTGAGTGTCTATGAATTTGCTTTATAAAAAAAAAAAAAAGGCTTTTATGAGTTTACAGTAGAATCAGTGGAAGGAAGAGTTAATAAGGGCTGTTTTTAAAAAAACAAACAAACAAAACAAATAATTAAAAAAAAAACACTTTACATTCCTTCCTATTCTCTAACTACACTCGGGAAGTGCACTTCAGATATGTTTGCTGTGTAGCTGGGAGATGAAGGAAAACCATAGAAGAGGTCCCCTTAGCGAACAAAATTTAGTTATTAACTTTATAGCTATGAAATTCCCCCAGGCATTTGTTTTCGTTCAAACAAACTTTAATCTCTGCATCATACTTAACCCTGCGACATGCGTACAGTATGCATATTTTGTTTTGAATAAAAAAATGTTTTGTTCCAGTCTGTTAAGAGTATTCAAAAATAATAAAGGTATTGCTTAATAAAATTGCTAGAATTGTTTAGCAGTACATGCACAAATATTTTACTAGCTTCTTTGTTTTAATAGTGTTTTGTTGAGACTGAAAATCCTAAAATGGTCTGCGCAAATACAAAAAGAAACCACCAAAAATGCAAAATTTTCTAGTTTTTGTTCCTTTTTAAAAATTATTTTTATACAAATGCAAACACATTCACGTGTGCACACACATCACAGATGCACACACACATACAAAAACATGATAGTTTTGATTTAAGAAATATGGTGTTATTTCTAGGGACACAAGTGGGTGGGAAGTGGCTGGGAGAGGGCTTTAAATTCTCGCCAATTTTAAACACTTGTAGAAATGAGCATTTTTAAAAGCCTAACTAGAGGTGGAATATAGGTTTCAGTGGAGTTCGGGGAGGAGGAAAGTGAGGGGGGCAATGGAATGAAGGGCGAAGGCGTGAGTGATTGTTACTGGAGAACTGCATGGTGGAATTTCTCCATTGCTAGTGGGAGTGGGGTTCTTACGATATCTTGAGAAAAAGAATTTTCTAAGACTCACAAGAGAGAATGAGTGATTTTTATTTGTGTAGAGTTATATTCCTGGGTTTGAAAAGTCCCATTTCCCTCAGACCGTTCCTGACAAATGTGCAGCTGTGGATTCAGCAGAGCTAGAAGCAAAACTAGTGCCCAGAGTTCCCGTTCCATGGTGGAATTAAGTCCAGCCGAGCATCAGGCTAGTTGTAGCCCACTAGTCCATCGTGTGGGGTCCCCGTGGATGTGGGCCATGTGGCGAGGACAGCGTGAGAGCACCCCCCCAGAAACGAGAGTCCCAAGAGAGCAAGAGAGAGGAATTCTTTTGCTTGGAAGTTTCAGTATCAGATCTTTCCAGGCTTGCAGTGGCCACACCTACTCTGGCCAATGACTTGTTCCCAGGTATGACCGACAGGTAAGCATCTAATGTCCAGCCTTTCCTCTACTCCTTTCAAGTTAATTAATGACCAGGTTATTACAATAGTATCAAGGTGACTCATGAGGAAGATCTTAGTAGGTGAGCTCTTGTTCAACTGACCTCTTAAGGACTTTAAGTCATATGGCCAAGAAAAAGTTTGTTATGACCTTTATCTGCCTCTGCTGTGCAAACGCAACTTTGAAGTATATTTTTCAGTGTCCCTTATGCTTCTGTTGTGCTGAGACATTTCCATTCTTTCAGAAAACTGACACATCAACACGTGTACAAGTCCCACCTACTCATGATAAGACATTGGGCAAAACAATGAAAACCCGCATTCCTTAACAAACAAGGTTTCGTTTTCTCTTAATATCTTTTACAACTGGTTAAAGCTCTTTTCCAATATAAGAGGACTGGGAGGTTCCACTTAGCACGTTTTAGCTTTAATTTGGGAAGGATGGCCACCAAAAGAGGGAAAACAAAAACCACCACTGCTTTACATGAGAAGTAAGCTCTCCAAAAGACCATTTCAAGACCTGGGAGAAACAATAGTGTTCATTATAAATAAACTATAATTTAAGTGAGGAACCAACCTCGAGAGAGAAGGGAAATGAGTTCTTTCTCTCCAACAAGTCAGCCAGCGTTGGAACAGTCTGTAACTCCGGCAGGATATTTTTCCTGTCATACACATGTATTCTTCTAATGTGAGGATGGTCTCACTGCCTAGTACTTATTGTCAAAAATGTGGAAGCACGCCTCTGTATTTCCCTGGCACACTGAGCTAAAGCAGCTTTTCCTGGGGTCAGCTAAAGGATCCAAATAGGCAATGACTCCTTTACAAAGTCAAGGAACAGCCACTGAAGATGTAAATCTCACCACCCTCAATTGATCTTTGTAGCCGTTTTCCTACTTGATAACACGCTTGATGTACATATATTAATCCTCACGAAAAAAATTAGGCCCTGCATCTTTGTAAACACCATCCTGTTCCATTTTTCTCATGATGGATAGTCATTGCATCCTGGGTAATGAATTATGATATTAAAACAATTATTTTTTTAAATATATTTTTAGAGATAGAGGAAGGGAGAAGGATAGAAAGACAGAAACATCGATGAGAGACAAACATCATTGAATGGCTGCCTCCTGCATGCCCCACTGGGGGTCGAGCCGGAAACCCAGGCATGTGCCCTGACCAGGAATCAAATCACGGCCGCTTGGTTCCACTAATTTATTACAGTGACTCACACAGAAATATTCTTTTCTAAATGACAGGAAAACTGTCCAATGGAGAAAAGTACTAG